TAGACAAATTTTCTGCCAGAGGGTAACATACATCACCTGGATGCAACTGCCAGTGGTATCCTCCTTCTCAACTGAAATCTCCTAAGTCTGGTCTTTATCTTCAACAATCCATCTGAGCTCTGACCAGAATCTTTCATCAAGCCCTGATTATAGCATTCTAGGGGTCCTTCTCCAGCTGGCATCTCCAAACCTTTCCAAACTGCTGTGAACTTCTTCCAAAGGCTTCTGAATCACCTGGTGAGTTACAGTCACAGCAATGGTACCAAAATCTGTATCACTCACTTTCTTATCCCTGAGACACAATACTCAACACTACAAATTAAGGGAATAGGGGTTTGTTTTGGCTCACATTTCAGTTCATAGTTAGCTAGTTCCAGGAGGGCAGGATGGCATGTCAGAGGGGCATACTGATAGAAATGCTGCTTGCCTCATGGTGGCGAGAGAGCAGATGGTGAAGAGTGAGCCAGGGAGCAAGATATACCCTCCCAGATCACACTCGCCCTGACCCACCTCTTCCAACCAGGCCCACATCCTGACACCAAGCCTGGTGTAGCACCCCCATAAACCAATCACCTTCTTCAAGCCCTCACCTCTGGGTGCAAGAGGCTTTGTGGGGACATTCAGATAGAATCTGTAATCTGTAGTTACCATAAAAGGATGCCATTCCTGATAACTATCTAGAATTTTTATAAGAAACTGATGAGCTATTTAGAGGATAAAACCTTATAATTTACTTAGGACATTTTTCTCTTCAGTAATGTACACTATAATGCACAGAATGAGAGTGTGAGGACTGATTATGAGTCTTTATTTTAATGTTCTGCTCCAATACCCTGTTTTGCTGGCACTATTAGTTTGGTCTTTGAAGCATTGATAACCACAGAATGAATGCACAGTTGAGTTTCTGAACTTTGTTTTTTTCTCATTTCTTTTTCAGTCAGTTGTACCTGCATTTAAGATATCAGCAGTAGATATGAAATTCACATAAGCATTTAATAGTGATAATCAAGAATAGTGTTGATATCAGGGCTATTAGAGCTTAGGTGATCTCAGACTGAATCAGTTGGGTGTGGATGTCGAGGATGTCTATAAGTGAGATGTGTTTCACACCTAAGTTTGTGAATTAGAATCATAACAAATAATGGAAGCTGGGACTGAATTAGGTGAGGATTTAGGCAACATATCATCTTAGGAATAGGACTGGATGTGTACATTTATGCTTATGGATGGAACTGACACTTTATTGTCTGCTACTTTTTTTTTTCTCTTATGTATTTGTAGTAACATCCCAGGTGATTTTGGGAAATCACCTCCACCTTTAACCCAAGAACTCAAATTTGTACTTTAAGGAATGGATTTTGTTTGGTTTAAACCACATAAGGGCAGTCATATCCATGGTCACACAGATTGGTTATGAATAAACCATTTTTAAAAGTCCAATTGGAACAAGTATGAATAATTTTAGTTGAAATGATAGAAATGAGATTCTTCTTATCTTGGGAAAAGCATCTTAGAACTGCTACAGCCAAAGGGGATCCCAGAATAGCTAAGAGAAGGTATGCCTAAGAACCCAGAAGTGGAGCCAGGTCTGAGGAAGGAGAACAAAGTGATGAATTCTGGAAGTTTTAAAAATCTTTCCTGAAGTCAGATATCAGAAATGAACAAGCAAACCAGCTGATCCATGTGTTCACAAGCACTCTGTGAAGTTCCATCCTGTGATGGAACCCAAAGTTCATAAACAGCACTGGATGGGCCCTCAAGGCTTTAGACAGTGGCTGAGGATAGTTATTGCTGTGCTTGCATTAAATCATGATAATGCAAATGCCAAAACCCACTCTAAATGATGAAGTGAGGCAACCCACAGTGGTGACCACGAGGTATTGTCACTGCCCCAGCAAGGGCTGCTCAGGGCCCTCAGCCAAGCTCTGGATCCTGACTTGGATCCTGTCTGGACCCACAGAAGAGACCTGCTGAGCTGGCAGATTCATTTTGGCTTGGAGTTTGCTGTGTGTTTCTTGGCAGGAGGAGCCCATCCTGCAGCAATGAGCATCCTGGATTAATGGTTCAAGTAATATCTGGGACCAACCAGCTTGGGGAAGCTCTACTACTATTGACACACAATTCTTTCTGTCCCACAGCCTTGACCCATTTTGTTGGCTGTTGGAGGCTCATCCCCTAAGGCCCCAACCGCCTATGTCATGATGTAAAGAAAAAAAAGTGTGTGCATATTTTTCCCCATCATGGAGCATGTGCTCTGTAGAGGGAAATCTGGGAGGATGGGATGAAAGTTGTTTTGTGCTGTAGTGAATCCCAGGGCAAATGTCAAAATCAGCTTTGAGCCACAGTCTCAACTTAGTTGTTTGCTTCCCAAGTTTCTCTGCATTTTGCCCCAAATTCTGCGGAAAAGTTGAGATGAAGTCTCCAGGACCCAAACCAAAAAGGAGCCTTGAATTTCCTTTCTGGCACTAATGAAGTGAGGTGATGTGGTCACAGCCTTGGTATGTTGGCTTCTCCTCCATGATGGATTCTGTTGGGAATAAAGTGGGACATGTGTTTACCTGCTGTCTTAGTTATTTTTCTCATTGCTGAGACAGAATTCTCAACACCCAAATTTAAAGGAAGAAAGATTTATTTCAGCTCACGGATGGTAGAGGATTCAATCCATAATCAGGTGGTTGCAATGCAGGGTGGCATGGCGGAGGGGCATCACAGAGGAGAAGCAGTCCATGGCAGGGCAGGCAGAAGGCAGCAAGCAGCAAGCAGCAGCAAGTCTGCCTTCTTGCTCTCCCTTTATATTCCATCCAGGCTGTAAGCCTATTGATTGGTGCCACTCACACTCAGGATGAGGCTTTCACTATCTACACCTTTAATCCCACTATCACACCCTTAATCCACATTCACACCCTAATCTAGCTATCTTTTTTTTTTGTACCAGAGATCAAAATTGGGACCTTGCACTTGCAAAGCAAGTGGCAGAACCACTGAGCTAAATCCCCAGCCCCTAATCTAGCCATCTTTGAAACTCTCCACCTAAGACTGAATGAGGCTTTTGGAGGACATCTAGATAAAAGCCATAGCAGCTAGTTTATTTTCCCTTTCTCTGAACCCTTATTATGCCAAAATGCACTGTTTTATTCTCCTTGGTAGGAGGGAAGAGATATTTATTTCCCTAAACTCTCTTCAAAATCTAGAGAAAATAAAAATATTTCCTGTAAAATTTTGAAATGTGTTAGTGAACTTAGGCCATGACAACTACACTGTGCTATATATACAGCAGTGGATATTGAATATTATAGATTTTGTCCATTTTTGAAGAGTATATAATACCCAAACCCAAAGAATGACTTAATCTTTGTCAGATTTCCTTCATCCTCTATGCTGGTGCAATAATGCTAAAAACAGAGGAAATAGGAGTGAAAAATGAACTGAATTTCGTGTCAACAAAATAATAAATTCCTACTAGGCTAAGGGCATGCATGAAGGAAGTGTCAGGCACATCACATGTGTTTGCATGTGTGCTTTTGCACATGTGTGCCTATATCCCCATTCATACATACAGTAGAGTGAGGGGTAGAGGAGTTAGCCTGGGAGCCAGCCTGGAGTGTGGGTGCCAGAGGCTTCTGGGTTCATGGATGTTGGAGTGGGAGTGGGTTCCTTGTCTTGCAGAACTCTTTTGGATGGCCTAAGGAAAAGCAATCACTGTTACTTCTGATATTTTAGGCAGGAAAAGTGACCTGGTTGCTCTTTGTTCTCATGAGAGCTGTCAGAGAGACCAAAATTTTGAGCATATAAGTGGAGAAAAATGGTCTTGCATGATATTCCAGCCTGAAGCCCAGACATCCTCTCATCTCTCTTGGCCAAGAATACTTGGCACTGGAATGCCCCTAGTTTCCCATAGGAATGCCTACCCACTGGGTTCCTTGACATCTCTACAGTCTGGGGGAAAATGTCTTATTCCTTAGGTAACTTAATTCAACTAAAATTTCCCCCTTTATAGCTCATCTTCAAGCAAGGAACTCAAAGACATCAAACCAGCCGCTAAATTAATTACCTTACAAGTGACATAGACCTCAAAGAGGTGGTTTATGTTCATCTCACCATCTCACCCTCCATGAGTAGTAGCTGTCTATGGAATATGGGAATTTCCATGAGTCACTATTCTGGGAGAAGACTAGCTTCAGTGGTGACCTTGCATTGGAAATCATTTCAGAACTGACACTCCAGGGGAACTTTCCATATCCTCATTTCCCAGGCATATCTTCAAAACCCTCAAAGACATTATTTATAATAGTATCTGACAGATGGTGGCATTGCACCAAGGTGTGTAGCTGTGAATTTTCTTCTTGTTGGCTACATTTGCAATTCTGAGCCTCCTGGCACATGGAAGTCTTACTCCCTACCTGAGACAGAAAGTGATCCAGCTGGCACTGCTTGAAGAAACTGAAAATCAAGGTCCTTGTTCACACAAGTAGGAAGTCCATACATATTGACTCAATCAGGCATTTTTGCTTTTAATTAGAAGCTGAAGAGTTTTTGAGAGATATTTTAAGAGAAGCAAAGTAAGACAAGTTCACCTCCTCTAATTAGCTTTGTGAGCCTGTGAGAACACTTTTTAAAAACATGGTAAACCCAATACTGGCACAGGGCTGGGAAATGGGTGTGTTCCTCCATCACCAGTGTGAGTTCAAATTTTTATGGGCTTCTGAACAAAAGTTCTTATGAACTATAAACAAAATAATGCTTCTTTTAACACTTTATCCTAAGAATGTAATCAGTGATACAGATGATATATTATAAAATATTTTCATTACATTATTCTAAATGTGAAAAACTAAAATAAAATGTCCAACAGAAGTGAGTAGTAAATAGATTATGGCATAAATAATCTGCAGATACATCATTTTGAAAAAATGCTCAGTGATACAGAAAGGAATGGCTTCCCAACATAATGTTCAGTGGGGAAATGAGCAGGGAATAAAATGAGAATTAAGTAAATAACTTTGGTGAATTTCAATATATGTATGGGTAAAGGATTAGAAGAACATTCATTTTGGTTTATTTCTGCCTAGTAAGATTTTGAAAATTTTCCTTTATTTTCTCTGTTTACCATATTTCCAAAAATAAACATGAACCATTATAATTTTAAAAGTTGGTAAATATGTACAATGTTTTCCTGAAGAACTGAGCAGTTCATTAAAGGTATAAACAAAAGTAACATTATCTCATTAACCAGTGCCTATTTTATCAATAAAAGCTGAGGTTCCTTATAAAAATATCTATGATAATTTAGAAATAATTTTAAAAACAAGAGTAAAGAAAAAACAAATTTGAATGAAGTGCTGAGTCTGACAAGTAAAAGCAGAACCCGGATCTGCCAGCCCTAACAATGGCTTCATTGAGTGGGTTGCACCCTAAGTTGGATGACGGCTTCTAGATGTCGCACCTGAAGGACACAGCATAAGCAGGGGCTGGACTTCACTGCCTCAGGGAAGCAAAGGTTTTCAGCCCTGAACTCTAGAGATACGAATGTGGGACTGAGCTGGCAGGTCCAGAGGGATGAGATGAATGGCCCTGTGAGGTCATCCCTGAAGCAGAAGCTTCTGGACACTGCATTGCAGCATCCATCCCTCTGGGAAGGTTGCAGGTGGAGCTATAACACACAACTCTGAGAGCAGCTGTCCACAGCATGTACTCACTGGTTCTCCCTACAACAGAGCCCATGATGAGGGTTTGTGGAGGCTCATGGCCTTGAGTGTGGTGGGCCTGTTTGGTGACTTGCTTTGAACCTGTAGAATTTGATACACATGACAGAGTATCAGTTCCATGGTTATATCCCAGGAAACTGTTCATGTCCATCTTATTGGAGACTTTCTCCTTTGCTGGTTTTGATGGGGTAAGTGGCCATGTTTGGGTGACCATGTGGCAAACAACTGAAGACAGACATCAATCACACACCAGCTGGAAACAGACCCACAGTGAGTAGCTCCAAAGAACCAAGTCTTGCCAACAGCCACAAACAGAGCTTGCAAGTGGCTCCTTCTTGGGGAGCCTTTCAAGGAGCCCCAGCCCCAGTGGGCACCAGAGGCCTGGGACAGACACCAGGTCCAGATTCCTGGGCCACAGGCACTGTGAGATAATGAACAGGCATTGTTTTAAGGCACCACATTTTTGGTGACTTTTGACACAGCAATAGATAAGTAAGTGCAATCATGTTCTTAGGGGCTTGGGACTTCAGACTGGATCTGACTGTACCCAGGACCCACATCATCAGCCACTTCTCTGCTAGCTTTGACTTTATCTCCTTGAGCAAATTTACCTTAACTATCTTAGATACATGATCATATTGTTTAAATGACAGGAAAACATTAGAGAAATGTGGTCCAGGTGGCTTTACTGTGTGAATGCCACAGAATATAGCTTCGGGTCATACACAGTACAGCCAACTGTGCAGCCAGGCTACCTGCACACCTACAAACCTGTACTGCATCTTGCTGTTCCTGGTGATATCGGCAAGTCTAACACCACAGTAAGCATAACTCTGAACACATCTGAATGTAGAGAATGCACTGCAAACCCATAACATAAAAAAAGACAAAAGGTACAAGTGCACAGTCACTCACCAGGACGGAGTCTCTCTGAGTGAGTCAGGGAGTGAATGTGAGGTCCAAGGACATTACTGCTCACCACTCTGGCTTTATAAACGCTGTCCACTCATAGGATGCTCATTCTATACACAAAGCACTGTGCTTTTTCAGCAATGAATTAAACTTAGCCTACTCTGTAGCAACTTAATTTTATTTTATAAACTTAATTATTTAAACACTTGAGTCTATTATAATAACACTTAGCTTACAGCACATATACATTGTACAGCTGTATAAAACTATTTCCTTTCTTTTCATTTATTTTTGGGGTGCTGGGGATCGAACCCAGGGCCTTGCACATGCTAGGCATGCACAGTACTACAGGGCTACACTTCCAACCCACTTTAAAAATATCTATTCTGGGAGCTTTTTAAATTTAAGAATCGTTTTTTACTTAAAATATTTTTTATTCAAAACTCATAACAGAAATACAAACACTAACTTGGTCCTACCCAGGGTCAAGATTATCAATAGCTCTGTCTGCCGCTTCCACATCTTGTCCACTGGAAAGCCTCAGGGCAATGACAGATATAGATCTGTCACTTCCTATGATGGTGGTGTCTCTTCTGGAATCCTCCTGCAGGGGCTGCCTGAGGCTCCTGCACAGGTGCCACTGTTCAGATCGATGACTGCAATTGTCACTTTCCTGTTGCTGGGACACAATACCTGATGCCCACAACTTAAAACGGGAGAGCTTACATTTGCCTCATGGTTTCAGGAGAGGTCAGCCCCTGGTTAGCTGGCTCCAAGGCAGAAACCTCATGGTGGAGGGTATGGTGCAGCAAAGATGCTTAGTTCATGGGAAGCAGAGCAAAGGAGCAGTGCCAGGGAGGAAGGAGACAGGGACAGAGGCCATGCCTTCATAACCCACCCAGACACACCC